CTTCTGGAACCTCATCTGGACCCTGACTTGACGAAACTATTGTTAAAATGCCATTTTTAAGAGAAGGAGAAATTTGAGTGTTAGATGACATCAAGGAATTGATTAAATGTGTTTTTTATTTTTATTATTTATTTTTTTATGTTTATTTAAAACAAAATTTTAAAGGTTTTATTTATTTCTGAGAGAGAGAGAGATAGCGTGAGCAGGGTAGGGTCAGAGAGAGAGGGAGACACAGAATCGGAAGCAGCTCCAGGCTCTGAGCTGTCAGCACAGAGCCCAATGCGGGTTCGAACCCATGAACCAAGAGATCAATGACCTGAGCCAAAGTCAGACGCTCAACTGACTGAGCCACCCAGGCGCCCCTAATGTTTATTTATTTTTGAGAGACAGCGAGAGAACGAGCAGGGGAGGGGCAGAGAGAGAGGGAGACACAGAACCCGAAGCAGCTCCAGCTTCCGAGCTGTCAGCACAGAGCCCGATGCAGGGCTTGAACCCACAGACCACGAGATCATGACCTGAGCCAAAGTCGGCTGCTTAACCGTTGACTGAGCCACCCAGCACCCCTTAAATGTGTTTTTTAAAAACTGTTTCTGGAATAAATTAAAAGCCAAATAATAAAAATAAAAACTGCTTCTGGGGGCCCCTGGGGCCTCTTGATTGTGGCTCAGGTCATGGTCTCATGGTAGTGAGACTGAGCCCCGTGTTAAGCTCCATTCCGAGCATGGAGCCTGCTTCGGATTCTCTCTCTCTCTCTCTCTCTCTCTCTCTCTCTCTCTCTCTGTGTGTGTGTGTGTGTGTCTTCCTCTTTCACAGTCTCATTTCTCTAAAATAAAATTAAAATTAAAAAAATAAATGTGTCTGTTAAATGTGACAAGATATTATGGTTGTGTAACAAAATGTACATTTTTTTAAAAATTTATTTTGTGAGGGAAGGGAGGGAGAAAGGACACGAGCAGGGAAAGGGCAGAGAGAGAAGTTGGAGAACCTCAAACAGGCTTCGCACCACCCACTGGAAGCCCAGTGCGGGGCTTGAACTTATATACCCATAAATGTGCATATTTTTAGACGATGCCCATCAAGGTGTGTAGGGGTGAGCTGCGCTGTTTTGGGATTTAAGATCATTCAGAAAAGGGGAAGAAACAAAAAGGGGCAGATGCAGCAGTCGCTGAGGATGGATGTACGGAAGTGGGTTCTACTGTTCCCTTTTGTGCCTGTTTGAAATTCTCTATAACAAAACCTCGAATACGCAGGAAAGCGCGCAGGGCGGGAACCGCGGTAAGACAGGTGTCACTTCCCTCCGCCAGCGCCACAGACGCCACTTCCCTCCTCCCACGGCTTCCTCGGCCCCTTGGGAGGAGGAGGTCTCTGGTTCCCATGTCCAAGCTGCTTGGCCCTGGAATCACCCAGAAGGGCCAGGAGGGAGCCGTCAGCGGTTAGGGGCTAAGATAGAGTCTGAGATTCCCCCCTAAATAGTGGCCGCAGCAGCCGCCGGGAAGGGACTGTTCGGTTGGCAGGGTCCCTGCGCGACCGCAGGACTCAGTTCCCCCCTGGGAGGAACCCACGAGCCGCTGGAAACTCGCAGGTTTCGGTTCAGCCGCCCGCAGGCGCTGAGGGCCGTGTCAGCTGGGAAGGAGGGGTGAGGCCGGAGCCCCCGCCGCCCTGGGGTCCTTCGCCGCCCTGGGCCAGAGCCGCTGCCCTGGGCCGGAGCCGCTGCCATGGGCATCTGCCCTGTTACTACATCGCTGGAAGCCAGTGGCGCCGCCGCCCTCAGCAGGCTGTCCCTGTGTCGTCCTCTGAACGGAGGTGAAGGCCGCTGGGCCTCTGTGTCTCCATCAGCTGCACACCCACCCCCCTCACCTCACCCCTGACGGGCTCAGGCACCCGGCACACGCGCTGGGGTAAGGAAGAGGTCCTTTTTTCCCCCTTTTTCTGTTTCTGGTGAGCGGTACCAGGGGCGCAGTGTAAGAACAGGGCGTGGGCTCCGACGGGCCCAGGCCCCCCTGCCTCCCTGGATCTTGTGAGCCAGTGACCTTGGGCGGGTCCTATGCCCTAAGCATGACATGGTCTTTCTAAAACTGGGTTTGCGGTTAGTACAAGCAGCGCACACTCACAGTGCCGTGCGGAGGAACAGACGCAGAGGCCCTGGCACGCAGCAAGTCCTTAGTAGCGGTTGGTTATTTCTGTGACGTCCCGTCGCTCCCACCGGTTGCAAGTCCTTGAGGAGCTTTGCCTTGTTGGTTTTATTTCCTAATCTTAGCACGCTGCCTGGCGCGGGGCGCTTCTCAGTCCTTGCTGAAGGAATAACCACCACCATCTAACCAGGGAACATTTACAAAACTTTTTAAAAAATGTTTATTTTTGAGAGCCGGAGCGTGAGCGGGGGAGGGGCAGGGAGCGAGGGAGACACAGACTCAGAAGCAGCTCCAGGCTCCGAGCCGTCACCACAGAGCCCGCTGCGGGGCTGGAACTCACGAACCGTGAGATGATGACCTGAGCCGAAGTCGGATGCTCAATGGAGCCACCCAGGCGCCCACCAGTACACACCCAGGTGCAGAACATGCTCCAGGCGGAGAGGGGAATGGCAGGCAAAGGGTCTGGGGCTGCACACGTCCGATGTTTCTGAAGAGTAAAGGAGGCCAGTGGTGGCCAGAGTGAAAAGGCTCTTCCCTCTTTTTCTACTTGGTTAAAAATGAACACACGACACAATTCAGTAATTGAAAAAGATGTATTAAAATATTCACAGAAGTACAACAATTAAGAAAGGAGAAAACAAAAAATAATAATGAACTTGACGGTTTTCCCCTAGCTGGATACATTGCCATTGAAGAACTACAGGTGGTCTGGAGTTTGCACTTGGAATCCCTCCCAGGTGGTCCCCTACAGAAAAGTGTGACTTTAAAAGGTCTCATTCTGCCAGTAATTAGACATGGAAAAGGCAGCTCGGGTGGTGAAAGCAACCCCACTGCTGTCCTGTGTGGCCAGGCCCAGGAGCACCAGCTCATAAGAGGAAGACCCCCCCCCCCCCATGGGGCGCCTGGGTGGCTTAGTCGGTTTAGCGTCCGACTTTCGCTTAGGTCATGATCTCGCTGTTTGTGGGTTCGAGCCCCGCGTCGGGCTCTGTGCTGACTGCCAGCTCAGAGCCTGGAGCCTGTTTCAGTCTGTGACTCCCTCTCTCTCTGACCCTCCCCTGCTCACGCTGTCTCTAAATAAAACATAAAAAAAAAAAAAAAAAAGAGGAAGACCCCCCAAATCCCAGGAGGTTAGGAAAAGCCCCGCCCCCGAGGTGCTCCACCCAAGTTTCCAGCAGTTTCCTTCAGACAAGCCTGCCCCACGGACCCGGTGGGCAGCGGGGGGCGCTGCGGTGTGGTGGGGGGCTGTCCGCCACCGGGCGCCCGCTGTCAGCCCGAGGTGTCCTCCTGGGTGGGGGTGGGGGCCCTGGGGGGCGTGCCAGGGGCGCGGGGCGGGTTCTGGGTAGCAGCCTCGCAAGCACAGGGTCCCGGCAAGGAAGGGACGGAAATCAGGACGCCTGCTGTAGGTGACTTCAGAACGTATACTTTCTTCCTAGGACCTGCTCAGAAGAAGGAGAGCGGCCCTTTGCTCTGTGAAAAGCGGCCTTAAGGAAACATTGCACATGGAAAAGCACACGTTTGGTCTCTCGACAATTTGTGTTCTTTCTGCCTTCAAACCAGTCCTGGTCATGGATTTTCACGGTGGGAAAGGTTTAGCAAGAATATCGGTAACTTGCTCGAAGTTACCCACCCTCCCCAACACGTGCGTGCATGCGCGCACACACACACACACACACACACACATCTTCTAAAGGCTCCTTCAGCTCTACCAATGGATGCAGGAAAGTTCTAGGAGGCAAGGGAAAAGTGGGCCGGTTGGCAGCAATGTCTCGGGGAACCCTCTGCATCCCTGGCTGGCTGGGGGGTCCTTAAAACTCAGCTTCGAATTCCCACGCAAAGGTGACAGAAGGCAGGGAGGCAAAGCAGCTCGTAGCGCCCTCCAGCTGAAGGGGAGAAAACCCAGCCGTCCTCACACGTGTTCTGTGGTCGCTAGTCTGTATTCATCCCCTAACTGGGCTCTCACAGTATTTTGATGGGGAAAAAATATTCCATTAAAACCAAATAATCTAGAAAAAGGGGGAAGGACCATATAAGTGTTTGATGATCTCCACCATGCTTTGCAGTCCCAGCAAAAGATAAAAAACTCATAGGCTTGACATGGGGTGGGGGTAGTCAGTGGAAGAAAAGGAGTTATTGGAAAGGGTGTCCAAATTGTCTAGATTTTTCCTCATCTCATTGCTTCTCAATTCCGTGTAACGGGAAAGAGTGGGGAAAAGAAAAGTAAAGACAAAAAGAAAAAAACCCCTAAAACCCCCAAAACAGGAAAGAGAAGAGGTTTCTGAAAGAAGAGTGCTAACGGTCCTGCCTGCTGATCTGAAAAACCTAGACTATCCTGAACTTCCGAAGTCACGGTGAGGCTGGTGAGGCTCTTACCGAGCTGAGCCCTGACTGATGTTGCCTCTTCCCAGAATCATGATGGAAGCTTTTATAAAGAGGATTCCCCAGAGAGCGAGCGAGCTCTGGGGGTGCTGCAGGCTGGCTTTCCCATGAGCCCATCTGGGCCTGTTTACAAGGAAGTGAGACACCCCCCCCGCAGCTGTTTGGGGACCCTTATTCAGGCAGGAAGGCCTCTGGCAAAGAACGTAAGAGGTACCTTTTAGTCTCCAAATGGTATCGAACTCCTCAAGCGAGGCGCTTTCTACTTCAATTATATACATGGCATTGATCTGAAAGTGCCTAGAAAGAAGTGACCTTGGCCTTCATCCTTTGCTAGTCTTGCGCCGGCAGGTCCACAAACAGATAAGGTGAAGGGTGTGACGTTAAAGTCCGTCTCCCGCACATAAAGCAAAAAAAAAAAAAAAACAAACCCCAAAGAAAACAAAAAACAAAACAAAAAACCCGCCCTGTATTTTAGAGAGAAAAACACCAAAAAACATTTTCCAACTGTGTTTAAGTGGCAGAGCTCGGCAGACAGCCTGACAGGTGGTGCGGACACTGGGTAGAGGCCACCGGGACGCGCTTCCGGGTGCTTCCGGCGTTAGCACCCCCGCTCCCCAACCACGATAAAAGCTAAGACTGGTTAAGCCCTTAGACCAAAGGGCCACGTCTACTAGAATACAGGGATCCACTACCTCCACATCTAAAGGACAGTGACAGGAATGGGTTTGTGACTTTGCTCAACCGTAAATGACCCTGAAAGGAAGCACAAAACGGCAAGACCATTGATACACACGTCGAATCATAGCATCTCATCATGCAACGCTGGCCCCTGCGTGTGATTAAATAGAATAGTTCTGCGCATCATCCATCCACGTCTCTTCCTCCGTGGACACACGTGTGCTCGCCCTTGCCCAGGTCTCCAAGGTCACACGTGGTCACGGGCAGGTGTATTTCCTGCACAAGAGTCCGGTCTGCGTCTGCTTCTCGCTCAGGCTGTGTTCTTCCGGATGTGTGCGTACACCACAGACTCTGACCTGTTAATCTTGTCACTGTGATGTCCGCCAGAGTGGTCTAACTGCGCATAGATGACCGGGCCCTGGGGAAGACAAGGACAGTCAGGGGTCTGGGAAAACGGGCGGCCCCTTCCAGGGCAGGTTCCAGATTAAGGGGCTCCTTCTTCTGAAGGAGTGAAAGTCAGTCTGGGACTGACTGGCTTTTTCACAAGGTTGGCTCTGCTCTGGTGACGGCGAACGCTGGTGTGCAGAGGGGTCGCCTCATTCGGTCTGGCTGCGTATCTGGGAATTTCTACACGAGGTAACGCTCCTCAGCAATTACCCTCATCTTAGTACCTGTCACAGGCTTCCTCCACCCTTGGAACGAGAGTCAGAGTTTTAAGGACAAAGACGGGGACCGGTGCCGACCCGAGACCCACTGACACCGTGAGCCTCAGAATGTCGCATGCAGGACACCAGCGTGTGGGATGCCAGCAACGTCAGGGACAATTGGAACTGGTCACTTTGTACACTTTGCAAAGGCATCTCACGACTCCGCCACGTAGGCACTTAGAGTGTGACCCTTTCAGTCTGATCCTATCATAACCAATACAAGTACTGCTGCTCTGATGGTGAGGATCAGGCGACTCTTTATCCTGTTTTAAAACAGGAACCCAAGAAGCCGTGATGTAAAGAAAGCCCTGACGGACGCGTGTGGGCTGCCGGGGGTCGGGGTGGGGGACTCCTGGGGAGGAGGTCTCAGCAGAGGCTGGGGTCGCAAATACCAGGCCTGGGCCTGCATTTCATGACCCTTACAGCCCCTTCCAACCCAGAGATTCTACAATCGAGAACAATGACAACAACAAAATGGCCCTGACCGGAAGAGAAAAGTGCAGTTATGACCCCGAGGCGACTGTTCTCCCCGGAAACTCTCTCTGAGAAGTCGAATTCAGAATCGTAAGCTCGGTCGCCAAAAGCCTGTGTTTCGACTAAGCGTCCTCACTCCCACCTAGGAGCCCACGGTGATCCCCCGGGGGCGTCACGGCGGGTCGGGAGTGCGGGCCCGGGAGCTCCTGGGGGGGCCCTGCCGGCGGCCAGGGCTGTGCGGCGGGCACCTCGGCAGCGGGCACCCCGGCGGGGTGACGACTTACCGCCGCTGGCCGTCGCTCCAGCCAGCAGCCCTCCCGCCGGCAGACGTGAGGACACCGTGGGGGACCGTCCCGCCTGCGGCAGCGGCGTGAGGCGCCGGTGGAGGCCGCCGCGCTGCCCCGAGCAGAAGGCCCGCCCGGCCCGCCTCGAGAAAGGGGAGCCCAGCAGACGGTGGCCGTTTCAGGCCATTATGTTTTGGGTGGTTTGTTACACGGCGCAGGTGACGGGCACACGAGGGAGTGGAAAAGAAAGAGGAGAGAGAGAGCAAAGAAGAAAAAGAACACGGTAGTCTGAGCACCGGTCAGTAAACGTGCAAATGCCAGTAAGGACTCCGTGTGGGACACTTGTCCCGTGACAAGAGGGCACAGCAATCTGGTGAAAGCGACCGGGAAGCCACGGAAGAATAAATGGAATTCCCTCCTGTTGAGGGACTCGGTGTCTACAAACTGCTCACCACTGGCCAACGCCCTCACCCTCCCTCCCTCTTACAGGGGGTCCTGAGGTGGGGGGGGTTCTGTCAGTGCAGCGCCTGCGGCAGTGCTGGGGGGCGGTGCCATCCGGACCCAAAGGCGCCCGGGCTGTGGGTCAGGACCGGGCATCTGCTGACAGAACAGTCTGCAGCCGCATCTCTGGGGCCTGGAAGCTGGAAGTGCCCTTGATCTCGCGGAACACGGAGGAATCAGGGGATCGAGACCGACTGGGAAACGGAGCTCTAGCTCTTTCTACTGTACACCCGGCCACTCACCCTTCCGCCCTCACTTTGTTTTTTTGGGGGGGGGGGGGCAGGAACTTTGCCACCAAGAAGTAAAAACAATCAAGTGAAAAACTGCTCTGGAAATATTTTTTCCCATCTATGTGCTACACAAATTACCCTTAATTGCCTAAAATGTTTCAAGAAACGAACCGCTTGACCCAGGTCTTTTCCTTCAACGCCAATTAGAGATAAAATGACTCCTGAGTTCCAGGTGTATGAAATGTACTCCAGTATAAAACATACTGGGGAGGGGGAGGGGGAGGGTTAAGGAGGCCTATTGGGGCGCCTGGGGGCGTAATCGGTTAAGCTACCGACTGCGGCTCAGGTCATGATCTCATGGTTCATGGGTTCGAGCCCCGTGTCCGGCTCTGTGCTGACGGCTCGGAGCCTGGAGCTGCTTCAGATTGTGTCTCCCTCTGTCTCTGACCCTCCCCCGCTCATGCTCTGTCTCCCTTTCTTTCTCTCTCAAAAATAGATTAAAAAAACAAAAAAAGGCCTATCTCCGAACAGGCACTAATTACGCCGAAGCCACTGTGTTACGCGTGTCCCACCGCCCCTTCCCATGGTCTGGTCTCCACGACACCTGAGCCCCGGCACAGGCACCGCCACGGGAGCATATCCGCCTTCACCGCGCGCTCAGCGACTTTCCCCCAACACCCTTCTCAGCGCCCACAGCAACGCGCAACGGCCGAAGGAAGCGAGGCCCAGGACGGAAAGGGCGGACGCCAGAGGACGGGAAACAGAGCCCGCCTCCCGGCCGGAAAGCTGTGGCTCGACGCCAGCTCTGCCCTAACGAGAGACCTCGAGCAAGCGACTCAACCGCGCTGAGCCTCAGTCTCGTCCTGCGTAAAACGGGGACCAGAGAGCGTGCCGCGTGCGGCTGCTGTGAGAGCAGGAGGCGGCGATACGCCCCCCCCCAATCACCGGCTCGGTGCCGATGTGCCCCCCCCACCGGCTCAGTGCCGATGCGCCACCCCCAACACCACCCTCTCTGTGTCGATGCGCCACCCCCCCCAACACCGGCTCTGTGCCGATGAGCCACCCCCCCCAACACCACCGGCTCTGTGCCGATGAGCACCCCCCCACACACCGGCTCTGTGCCGATGCGCCCCCCCAACACCACCAGGTCTGTGCCGATGCACCACCCCCCCACCACCACCAGGTCTGTGCCGATGCGCCACCCCCCCCCCACCACCAGGTCTGTGCCGAAGCGCCACCCCCCCGACAACACCACCAGGTCTGTGCCGAAGCGCCACCCCCCGACAACACCACCAGGTCTGTGCCGATGGACCACGCCCCCAACACCACCAGGTCTGTGCATCCAGTTGACTAGGACTCACCAGCCCCCTCAGTCACCCCCATACTTGCCTGTGGCATAACCAAACATGAGCCATTTCTGGAAAAGGATCTAGAAAGCCAACCATTCAGAAAAGAAACCCACCAGAATGATTTTAAACTAAGCTTTGCAAAGGAAGAGTGGTAATTCTCACCCTGACGCCCAAATACTCTTAAGTGGCGCCTCACACCCTGGCTAATCCAGCCTTCCACTGCGGTTCGCTGGACGAACCTTAATTTGGGTTTGGTGTTCGCCCTCCCTTTGCTCCGTAAATGAGCTCACCCCGACCCACCCCCAGGGGTGAGGCCAGTCGTAACTCCTGTCTCTTTGCAGATGACTGGAAGGGGCGTCAGCGTGTGACCCAGGCCCAAAGGGGACTCAGAAGTTTGCTGGGGGGCTTCTGGTAAAGGTTTCCCTCCATAATAAAAACTGCACAGGGGGAGATTCAGCTCTTCCCCGTGGCCCCCTCCCCCTTGCCTTTTCTGGAGGCTGTGGGAAGGAGCCTGAGAACAAAGACCATATGCAGAGGATGAAAGAACACGATGGGAAGAATTGTCATTGATGGCACTGTTGGGCACAAACCTGACAATCACAGTGCTTGGAGCTCTGTTGAGTTAATAAACCTTTTTTTTTTAATGTTTATTTATTTTTGAGAGACAGAGTATGGGCGGGGGAGGGGCAGAGAAAGAGAGAGACACAATCCAAAGCAGGCTCCAGGCTCTCAGGTGACAGGGCAAAGCCAGGTGTGAGGCTCGAACTATGAACTGTAAGATCGTGACCTGAGCGGATGTCAAATGCTTAACCAACTGAGCCACCCGGGAGCCCCATTAACCTCTTACTTAATTTTAAAGCTACTGTTACTCAAGCTTTCTGTTACTATCCAATCATAGTAGCCTTCCAATCATAACAGAAATGGTGACCAAGGACTGACAAGTAACACAGCAAACTGAATGTCCGGCCTGGATGTTCCAGCTTTTGCGAATTTCCTTATCAGTGCACTCCTGCTGTTTCTCTTCTTCTGATAAAATAACATGGAGTTACTTACTCATCCAAGTGGTCATTACTAACGCTATTAGATCAGATGCCGCCTGCAGGTAGGAAATGGAAGGTTTTGTAGATCAGGGAACGTGTCATGATAGAACGCTTGGAAGAAAGCACCAAGGGACAGTCTGCAAATCTCCCATCCACCCCCCACTTCACTGATCTGATGGCTAACGTGGGCAGCCACCGCCTAAACTGGTTCTTATAAAGCCCAGTGCACCAGGGGCCCTTATGATTAAAAACAGAAATATAGGGGGTGGGGGGCTCCTGGGTGGCTCAGTCAGTTAAGCATCCAACTCTTGATTTCAGCTCAGGTCTTGACCTCAAGATTGTGAGTTTAAGCCCCACACTGGGTTCCATGCTGGGTGTGAAGCCTACTCTAAAAGAAACATAAAAGGAGAAGAAAAATGAGATCATCTTGTCCCAACCCATCATTTCAGAGATGAGAACAGAAGCTGAAGTTAAATAACTCTCCCCACGTTAACCTCACTGGCTAGAACACGCTAGTTTGTAACACATCACTAATTGTTTTTTGTTTTTTTTTAATTTTTTAAATGCTTATTTATTTTTGAGAGAGAGAAAAAGGGAGACAGAGCATGAGCAAGGGAGGGGCAGAGAGAGAGGGAGACACAGAATCTGAACCAGCCTCCAGGTCTGAGCTGTTAGCACAGAGCCCGACGTAGGGCTCGAACCTGCTGACTGTGAGATCGTGACCTGAGCTGAAGTTGGATGCTAAACCGACTGAGCCACCCAGGCGCCCTGTACATTATTAACTTTTAAAACACTACCCTGGCGTTTACCAAAATATAAAGATTTCCTCAAAGCTGTTTATCAGGGTATTAAAAAAAACCAATAACAACTTCATTAGGATATACATGAAAATTCTCCACATAACGGAAAAGCCTAAAGATGTTCTTAACGCGCCTGGAGATGCCAAAGTTCTCGAGGACAGGGCGAGGTGCTGAGCACCCCCGCGTTTCCCACGTCCGGCCCGCACTGCACTCACACGTGCGTGAAAGTGGTCAAAGCAGAACATACAAAGGAATGACTGGATTCTTAAAAGAACTGTTGTTTGGTTGTGCATAACTTATAAAAGGTATTTAACCTACAAATTCCCTAATCAGGTCACTTCTCCCAAACTGTGAAAACCACCGTGCCCTTAGTTTGACCAAACTGAAGGCAGAGAAAACCATAAGGATTCTGGAGAGAACGACTTCCATTACATCCTCTGGTGCTGAAATGCACACACCCCTGACACACTGACTGAAGGCAGCACGTGACGGTGGATAAAAGCACACGTTGGGCCCTGCTACTGCTCATGGCGCTTCCGGAGTGAACGAGGCAAATATTTTCACCTTCCGACAGCATTCCCTGCTGTAAGCTGACATGACCACTGAATGCAAATCTAAGTGAAACAAAAACCAGAAGACAGATTTGCCAGGAAATCACGTGGTCCACTTCCAAGCCTTGTGTGAATTGGCAAAGGTTTTATAAATTCCGGAAACTGCTAAGGCAGAAACTAGTTTTAACAAGAACAATCGTAAGATAATAGGCATAGTAGGCAAGATAAAAATAACCGGGTAAGACAAAGGGTACCAGGTACCTGCTACCTGAACCTGAACGGAAACCCTGCTTTTCGACAGGATGCGGAAGAGAAGGGGCCTTCAGGGGTCTGCACCCAGCACGAAGGGACTAACCCAGGGCGTGACCGTGAGGCGTGCCACAGAGCTAACCCGGCGTCACCCGGCAAATGCTGCAGAATGCCTACAGAGATCGACCCGGTGCGGGAATTCTCACCCGCCTCTAGAAAATGCCACCGAATCAGGTCTGGGCAGAGCCCTGGGGTTTACTCGCCGGAAGTGCGGCAGTCTCTGGCGCAGGGACAGCAGGGAGCAGGGTGTGCACTGAAAACAGGGGGCAAGCCTGCTTCCTGCACAGCGGGCCCTCATCTCTCCTTCTCCTCATCTCTCCTGCTCAGCTCCCAAGCCGGAAATCAGATCTCTTTCTGGAAAGACTGACTAACTCAAGGGAAAAGACCCTTGACAACTGATACTTACAGGTCCCGAAATGGAAAAGAGCCAGCATTTTGGACAAACAGTGAAGCCCACCACCCAGCAAGCTCTCATCTCTCTTAAAGAGCTTATGAGATTTGAGTACCTTCTTTTTTTTAATGATTTTATTTATTTTTGAGGGGGAGGAGAGGGAAAGTGAGGGGGTAACAGAGGATCCAAAGTAGGGTCTCTGCTGTCAGCACAGAGCCGGAAGTGTGGCTTGAACTCACAAACTGCGAGATCGTGATCTGAGCTGAATTTGGACGCTCACCCAACTGAGCCACCCAGGTGCCCCTAGATTTGAGTACCTTAAATATGCATGGATAGCCATGGATCATTGGGCTTTTGAGTAAAGTTTCTAGTATGAAAGACAGAAATAATAAGAGAAAAAGGTAATTTAAAAGAAACAGCAAAATCAAGTGATGGGAGAAAACATTTTTTAAAAAAATCACATAAAACAGAAGAAAAAATGATATACTCAGAGAGAGAAGACCATGCATTCATGAAAACAAGTACAGAATGTTATAATTAGTAAGAAACAACTCTTGAAAATAAAAAGCAGGAATTTAATATTCAATAAGAGTTGGAAGTAATGTTGCAGAATATTTTAAATTTTATTTCATGCTTATTTATTTTTGAGAGAGAGATAGACAGAGTGCGAGTGGGGGAGGGGCAGAGAGAGAGGGACACGCAGAATCCGAAGCCGCTCCAGTCTCTGAGCTGTCAGCACAGAGCCCGATGCAGGGCTCGAACTCATAGGCTGTGAGCTCACGACCTGCTGAAGTCGGACACTTAACCAACTGAGTGAGACACCGAGGAGCCCCATGCAGAAATTTTCTAGAAAGCAGAACAAAAACTACAAAACAAAAAATAAGAAAACTAAAGGACTGATCTAAGAGTTAGTTAGTTGGTCCAATTCCTAATAGGAATTTCCAAAAGAAAGAACAGAAAATGGAAGGAAGAGAATTTTTTCAGAATAATGGAAGAAAATACCCTAAAACTGGAGAAGGACGATTTTCAGATTGAAAGAGCCCACAGAGTATGTGGCACAATGAATGAAAAAGACCCACGATTTTATAAAATTTCAGAACACAAGGGACGCAAAAGATTCTGCGACGGGGAATGAAGGCCGTACCAAAGCAGCAGGAATCAGAACCAGCTACTTGGCACTGGAGGCCGGAAAAACCGACAGCGCCTCACAATACTGAAGGAAAACAACTTACAGCCCGGAACCCTACCCACCCTAAGTGCTGACCACCTTAGAGCGAGGAGTGAACACCTGAGACATGCTAAAAACCAACGGGTTCTCTTATGGCTTCAGGGGTCAGCAGGGCTGCGTGACCCTGGGGGCCCGGGGAGAACCCACCCCTCGCTCTTGCCAGCTTATGGGAGCTGCCTGCACTCCTCGGCTCGAGACTCCTCCCTCCACCTTCCAATCTCGGACTCTGACCCTCCTGCCTCCCTCTTCCGAGGACCCCTGTGGTTACACCGGGCCGCACGGATCTACAGGGTCCCTATTCCAGTGCCACTTTAGCCCCACGACTAAGGCTTGACCATCGTGAGGACAGCAGCCAATGTTCTGTACGAGGTCTCTGCACTCGGCTCTTAGGAACACAAACACTTCCTGGCCTCTAGGATATCACATAACCTACTGCTTTTCAAGCGGATCCTCCTCAGGCTGCAGGAGGTCCCCTCCCACGCACGCAAAAATCTGTGCTCAGAAAGGGCTCAAGGGAGCCCCAGCACTCCAGACGCCTGACTCTCTTCCTCTCTGGTACTTTGTTTTAGAAATCCCAGCTAGGTCGGCCCCTGGCTTCTGCCCTCCAATTCAGTGAGAGATCGAGCTCCCTTTCTGTCCCCCCTACACCCCCCGCCCCCCTGCACTGCAGCGTGGAGACTGCTTCAAGGCGGTAAGCTCAGACAATCACAGGACTCCTTTCTCTGAGGATCCCATTCAACCTGCTTTCCGGCATCCCAAACCCCCCCTTTTTTTTCCCTAGTTTGCTTTCAGCAGGTGAGCAACTCCCAAAGCACTTCAAAAGTGGAAGAAAATGTTTCCATGGTTTTTTAGATCTTATGCCTGAGCATCCCGCCTTTATTCATAACCCTATTCTCATTCACGATCCAAATGGGGAAACTGAGGCATCTGAGGTATACGGTGTTATGTGAGAGGGACAGACAGACTAGGAAGAAGTCATGAGCCCTGATGCTGATATTACAGAGAATGTGCTGTCTAGAAACTTGAACTCTAGCCCTAATTCTGTTGTTAGCTGGGCACATGTTTTTAGTAATTTAGGATCACGATACCTCAGTTTCCTTACCACATCCTAACAACTATAGAATAAGACTGTGGGTATTAATTCCACAGAACACTGTTCCTCTTTCCTTTACTTCTTTTTAAATCCATCCGACCTCCAAAACTCCTCAGGGAAAAGCTGTAACTGACCAAATTCCTTAGGATGCTTTCGACCCCAGGAAAACAGAATTGCTCTACTGTAACAGGATTGTACTAGGCTGTGGGATTTTTGCCACGCCACAATTATAGTTACAAAACCCAGTATTAACATGATCCTAGATTCTGTGCTAAGTTCCAAATAAAAGTTCTTTCCCTTCTGTACTTAAAAAAAAAAAAGTTTATTTATTTAGAGAGAGAGAGCACGCATGAGCAGGGGAGAGGCAGGGGAGAAAGAGAATCCCAAGCAGGCTCTGCACTATCAGCAACGAGCCCGACGCAGGGCCCGAGCGAAACCGTGAGATCATGACCTGAGCCGAACTCAAGAGTCAGAGGCTTAAACGATTAACCCACCCAGGCGCCCCTTCTGTACCTTCTATAAGAAATAGAAATCAATGCTTTTCCTTGTTCCTCAAGCCCACCAATTACCCAGATAAATGTTTCCTTTCAACTTCTTCTAACGAATTCATGTAATCTTTTTATTTTCAATACCAAGAACATCAACCCTTTCCTGCTGATTTCTGGTCTTACAGAGGACCTCGCAACAGCATCTAGTTCTTTAGATTTGTTGCCTTAAGCAATTACGGAATCCCACCTGACCAAAAGCCGTGTCCTAATTTCACCTGGGCCAGAGGAGCCCCGCTACAGGTGACCAGTCTGTTAGTGGTGGTTCGGTGGAGACCTTTCCTCAGGCCGGAGCCTCCTCCCCATCCTCACCTGCGACGCACCTAAGCCAGCTCTCATGGCCCCTTCCTCTCCCGCCCTGTGACCTGTCTCCAGGCTCAGCGTCATCTCGGGCACCAGGCAAGCGACAGAGCGCGGGGCGGGGGCAGAAGTGCAGGCGGCTGTTACCTGGTGGGATCCGGAAGGCAGGCTCTTTACCAGACCCTCTGTGTCGCATGGGGACTTGCGCGGAGGCTGCTTAACCGGTGACACACTCTCTGAGGTACTGCAGCTGGTGAGGTGGCAACGTGGACAACAAATGTGAAACAGATAATAATGAATTAATTAAAATGAATGGGAAAAAATATAGAGATGCCAGTGAGGACAAGATGGAGCCGCGGGTAAAACAAAACACGACAGAACAATGGGCATCAAAATGGTCACGGATCTTGACACAGCTTTTTATCCCTGACTCTACGTCCCCAAAGCCAGGGAGCCCACTCCGGGGTAAACGCGGAAACTGCACTGCACTCGGCGGGGAAGGGCCTGCGGCTGTAAGGCCCTGTGTCCTGCTGCTGCTTTGTGTTTTTCTCCTGCGGTCGCTCCTCTAGGACAAAGGTCTGTGGGAGCAAGCTACACCTTCCTAACAGCCATTCAAGGCAAACCTCAGCTGACCGTTATTTCGAGACCGTCAGCCCTGCATCCGGGCTCATCTCATTCCTTTCCCTCCCCCAGTTCCCCACAGCCGGTGGCCCCACTGAAACTACAGCCAAACCAAAGTCAGCCCAGGAAGTCACGAGTGGTAAGAAACTGGAATGCACATCACACCGGCTGGACTTTTTCAAGGGCTTGGGGGTCTTCAACCACAAGCATGATCTCATAAATAAAGAGGGGAAGGCGAATGCCGGGAGGAAGCTCGTTAGGGATTCTCTCCTGGTACCTGTCAGAGCTTTAATCCTTTCTGATGTATCTGTAAGGAAAATCTTAGGAGTCTGGCAAGGTTCACACTCAAGTGTTACTAAGACCGAAGCAAACTTGTGTTTAAACCTTGTCTCCTCTGAAATGGGCAGCTCTGCATCCCAAGTGAAAATGGCCAGCGTGTCTAACACTGAGAGGGTCTCAACCACCAATAACACAACTCACGTATGAAAGAACACTAAAACACGCACACACACACAAACACACACACACTCACAGCCATTCTACATGAAGAACACATATATTCGGATCATCGTACGAGCTCTAGGAAACCTGACAACCCAATTTCACCAGGCTGGTATGCTCGACAGGTTGTCAGGGCAAACGCAGGACATATTTGCAGACAAACTAATCACCGTTGGGTTAGCTCGGAGCAAGCTAGTTACTTGTCAACAAGGGGGGCGGGCTGGATACGTACACATGACTGTTAACAGCAACGGGCAATGTGATTAGTTACCATGGGTCTAGTGTAGGTGGAAGAAGACCCCAGCCCTGTTACAGTCCCAGTGTGTCGTCTATGTCAGCTTTTCTTAAGAAGCGGAAGATAAGCAGGATCTGATCCCGGCACACCAAGGTAGAGAGAGGGAGGGGAAAAAAAAACAACGAAGTAAGAAGAAAAGCAGCATTCGTGACGCATGCAGGATTCTAAGGCACGCTCTGTGCCCTTCGATTAAGCCCAAAGCAAGAGCTACAGAGGCTGGCATGTCCCCACCTGGATTAGTCTCGTGCTGAAGACCAACGCTGCAGTTATAGTTCGTTGTAAAGCACTCACCATGCAAGGCGGCAGATGCAGTCAGAATAGAAGCATTCCAAGCAAACAATATCTGAATTCGAACACGCCAACTTGTTAAAACACGGCACTCCTAAAGCCCAGCGGAGCCCAGGTTCCCACCGTCCACCAGCAAAGGGGTCCAGGGCGTGCGATCTCCCCAGGGTGTGCCTGCAGGCCGGGTGAGCCGAGCCCGTGCGCGCGTGGGACCCAGCCTCCGCTCAGTCTCACCCCACGGGCCCTACGTTAGCTTACACAGGTTAGCTGTCCGGCTGGAGGTGGGGAGAGAGAGCGTCCGCAGTTAGACACACCAGCCTCTGCTCCAAGGGGACAGCCATGGACAAAAAGAAAATCTACTTCCCTTTATGTTTTGGTGCCCAGCTTTTATCAGCCCAGTTTGGATGGGTCCAGCCATGCATTCCAGAAGGCTCAAGGCAATACAACTGCTTACAAAAGCACAGGGAGGAAAAGCCCTCATCGTCACATCAGCGGAAGCCGTTTACCAGGGCAGCTCTTGGTGACCTGAGTTTTATATTTATTTTACCTTCACTGAAAAGAAGAACCTTGTGAGATTAACACCAAGAGATTCAAGTTCAAGTCCTCGTGGGAAACAGTGATGTTTGTGGCTTAGTGGTACTAACCACAGCCTGGGTGGTCTGACCGCACAGGCCGCCGCGCAGCTCACTGCACCCAACCTAAGAAAGGGACACTGATCCCTTTGAAGCAGGGATCAGTGTCCCTGCTCACGTGTGACAGCAGGCCACAGATAGGCCACCAATTTCCACTTGCCCGTGTCAGCTCGCCTCCGAGTCCAATGTGACAGCGAGCAGTGGCTGACTCGTCACAGTTCTTTTTCCACGGAACATGCAGAAGTTTGTTGATCCCTTTCCCCTACCCTGCCCCCCAAATGCAGCGTTTCTTACCCAGTGTAATCCCGCTTAGCGTTTCTCCTTCTATAGAGGACAGCCAGGGTCATGCTGATGAGCAGGGTGAGCCCTAGGACCACGGCGGTTACTATCCCCACCACCACCCAAACTGGAAACAGCGGCAAGGTCTCTAGAGAGAAAGAGCAAAATCGTTTTAAGGTACTTCGCTACCGAGAGAAGACGTGGAAGTTCACTGAACTGATCAGCGAGCGCTGGCGGGGTCACCGCTTCCTCTTCTCCCGTCCACGTTACGAGCTTCTAGTGTCTAACTGATGACGTGCAAGTATCAGCTGACAAAGACTGAGCTTCAGGGCCGAGTACACACACAATCCCTCCTTTTCAGTGCTCTGAAGCCAAAGAAAACCCAGGGTGTGAATTTACCTCAATTTGCTCTCCCACAAAGCAGACTTTGTCTCAAAATGAGACACCAGAACCTGCATTTCCTGCTTATTTAAAAAAAAAAAAATGCGGGGGTGCAAAACGCGAGCTGTACTGTCTTTGCAAACGTGAAAACTTTCTGCTGGGGAACAGAGGAGCCGCGTTCACCTGCTCTCCGGGCACCCACCCCACCCGGTCACAGCGAATTTGGTCTTCCTTCCGATTCACGCTGAAAAACTACCTCTCATGAAGCCGGACCAGTGGGCTCCAGGTACAGAAACGAGGAAGCCGTAAGCGTGGCTCTCGTGCGGGGGGGGGGGGGGGGGGGGGGGGGGGGGGGGGGGGGGGGGGGGGGGGGGGGGGGGAACACGTGCACAGAAACAGGGACACAGCTACGGCCCCAAACACGCCCTTCAAACACCCCCGGAAATGCCACTCTCGTTCTCCAACTAAACCGGGGGGAAGGGGACGGCCACAACAGCCCAGGAAGTACCTTTCTCTACGACATAGAGCCTAATGTGCCCCGGCTGGACGACAATGTCAGGAGGGTTTTTGACGTCACAGATGTAGGTCCCGTTGTGTACGAACTGCATGTTTTCGATGTTGATGGAGACATCCTTCTTGTCGAGGTCCCCAGCCCAGCGGATCCTGTCCTTGAACAGTGGGTAGTTCCCAGGATACACCTGCCCTTGCGAGTAGTGGAAAAACTGCAATTAGAAAAAGAGAACACGTGAGATTTGCTACAGGCAGATGCTCCAAAGGCCGTAACAGGCATGCTGTGTGTGGAAGATTCTGTTTTTAAAACAAAGACTTCATACAGAAGGAAATACAGCTTCATATCACAAATACGCTATGGACTCTAAGCCAGACCGTTCAGAAATCACAGGGTTCAATCCTATTTCAGTGGAAGAAATAAACTCGTGTTTATCATCTCAAATCTTCTCAATCTGCCACTGATGCAGTGATTACCGCCCACTTTTTCATATGTAAGGAAAAGGAGACTCCAAGAAGCCATTTGCCCAAGGTTACAATGATAGCGGGTGATGGATCCAAAGTCAAAGTCAGGAGCATCTGACCCTTCAGAGCCAGTGACCCAGTGACGACACCATGACTGAGCCTGTGAACCCAAAGGTTTCGGTCTGAATTCACGAAGTTTACTATTTAGTTATAGGAAGACATGAAGAAAACAAAGTCTAAATACCACAGGTCAGTTTGTCTGAGGGGTTTCTCCCTCTTACGTATGAGTTTCCTATGGAAACGGCATGGGTGTGTGAGCGGGAGCCCAGACACCCCCAATGTTCTCTTTGAAGAGTCAGACTGGCTCACTCTTTCCTCACACTTGCTTTTACCCAAGGAACTCCTTTCTCAAAGAAAACCTGGAGAAAACCTTGTCAAGCCCAGCACCTTGGAAGCTAGGTAAGGCCCGGTGGGTGGGGATCGATGCTGATACTTGGCTTCAAGCCAAGCAGCTCAGCAGGAGGCCTGGTGCCTTCCTTCTTATTCACAGGCCGGGTGGCAGTAGGGCCAGGTGGGGACACCAGAATGAGTCAACCATGGGCTCCACAGTGACTCAAACAGAAGGTGTCAGAACCCTCTGAGCACAGCGAACCCTACATGATCTCATCCATTCCTAAGATTTAAGGACCACTGATACCCTGATAGCGCCCCAGCCCCTCTCTCCATCTGTGGGGTTCCCCTGAGCTCTAGAATCCCCTCCCCCATTGACCTGCTCACTTGACAACCCAGCTGCCCACCTCCAAGTTTGTCACCTTGTCCTGTAACCTCCACAGCTTGGAGCCACCTCAACTGGATTAGCTGTGTGTCCCACCTCAACTGGTGGATTACTCGGCCTTCCTTCCCATCCAGTTAACCTCCACCCGGGTAATCCTGTCAATTCTACCTCATACATTTCTTTCTTCCCACTGACAGTACCTCATTTCATGCTCTTATCATCTTGGACTGTGGCCTCAATCTCCTCTAACCCACCCTCCACAATGCCTCAATGATCACTAGAAAATATTAACAATCATAATTACATTATTATTATACCGTTTATCAAGCATATACCCTATGTTTAATATCACCTAAACGCTTGCTAGGAGCTTGAAGGCTCTCAGGAACTAAGAACTGGGGGGCTCTGTTGGTTGGGCATCTGACTTCAGCTCAGGTCACGATCTCGCGGTTCATGGGTTTGAGCCCCATGTCGGGCTCTGTGCTGACAGCTCAGCACCTGGAGCCTGCTTTGGATTCTGTGTCTCCCCCTCTCTCTGCCCTGCCCCTACTTGCACTCTGTCTCTCTCAAAAAAAAGTTTAAAAAATGTTTTTCAAAAAAGAACTATGAAGGCTCTGAGATTTTGCCCTCCTTGCAAATCTGTTGGAGGTTTTTACTAGATTAGAGATGATCTCATACGGGAACGGAAGCAAGGCTGAAGTGTGAGGCTGGGATGAAGTATAAGACAACTGCGTTCTAGATGAGCACTGAGCCTTGTTCGCAGTGGGAAGCCCCGCGCTTTCCAATGAGAGGGGGGCAAGGTACAAGGACTGTTTTAGGTCTGTGACCTGGTGGAATGTGGGCTGGGCTGAAAGACGAACAGAAGTGGGGAACCACCGGCTGGGGGGGCTACTGTACTAATCACAGCATAGTTTTTATCACATGATGGAGAGCAGAGAAGCAGGAAGGCTGATGCGACCTAAATGTCAGAAATCAAGTAGGAAGATCCCACAAACATTCTTATTTCCTGGAGGTGGGAAAGAAGTGGGAGCAGATAGGGAAGGACAGGACTCCCCACCCCCCTAAAAAAAAAACCCACTAAGACTCAAGATTTTAAAATTGGGTCCTCAGACAAAGTACCATCTTTGTCTACCTGAAAAGAACCAGCAGAGAAAGTAAGCAGAGGAGAGAAACCATGAGCTCCAGTTTAGACACAGGGACCTGATTCCACGGACCAGAGAAGCCACCCGTGGTATGCCGGGCTTCGATTTTCCTGAAAATCTGTAAAAATCAAAAGCATCCTGCTCATCTTATCATACATGTTCTGACACTTGGGAGTTAAAAGGTCTTCTATCAAGAGTTAGGCCTTCTGGAACTACCCGTAATCAGGCTGGTGTGGCAGAATGTACATGGAATAGCAAAGTACATTCATCCAAACACAGCACATTCCCTGCAGTAAGTCTCAGGGTATGTAGCCCACCTGGACCCTCTCGGCCGCCTGGACCCACGCAGCCGCCTGGACCCTCTCGGCCACCTGGACCCTCTCGGCCACCTGGACCCTCTCGGCCGCCTGGACCCACGCGGCCGCCTGGAACCTCTCGGCCGCCTGGACCCACGCGGCCGCCTGGACCCTCTCGGCCGCCTGGACCCACGCGGCCGCCTGGACCCACTTGGCGAGGATGTTTTGAGCATAAGTGGAGCCATGACTTGAAAGAAAGTTACTACCGCTGGACATCATCCAGGTGATGTTTTATTTTCTGTACACTAAACAACACCCTCCCGTCTACTCCTACCGAGGCCTTCCGCTGGGACCTCACAGGTGTCAACAGTTCTTCAAAATCCCCGAGTGAACCTCCCCGTGCTTCCTCTTGCCTCTCCAGGAAGCCTGTTACGCACGGAGGAATGTTCGTGTGCCGCAGCAATGTCTTCCATGGCGTGTGCGGGACCCCTGCCCTCACCCACCCCGGTGGCCCGTGCGGGACCCCAGCCCTCACCCACCCCTGGGGCGCATGCGGGACCCCTGCCCTCACCACCCCCGCGACACCGCACGGGAATCACACCCTGGGTAGCCGGTGGATGCTCCTGGACTTGACCTCAGCCTTCCTTCCTTCTCGGTACAACACCCACACTTCCTCCTTTTTAATATAAACCCTTGGGGACACAGGTCCGCCCAAGAATTTGGAAAACAGGTATATGTTCCCACCCAGTGCAATGGAGATTTTCTCCTGGAGACTTATTTCAACAGAAAATACATAGCTTTGATAACAGCACATATGAAAATGAAGCCACTCAGGCTAAACATAAAAATGGTTTTATGTCAGGGGCTACAGTCATCTCAATAAACACCCAAGTTTTCCCCAAAGACCGCGGGAACTCATGATCTGCAGACAACGTACAGGTGGCCCCGCTGGTCTTTAAGGAAAGGCATCAAGGGTAAATTCCTAACACACGGCTCTCCGCAAAAAAAAAAAAGACACTTCAAAATGTTCATAGATGAGCAGCAGCTATGAGGCAGCTACCTCCCCGCACGGCTTCTTCCAAAGTTTCTAGACTGTACCTTCTCAACAGGGTGACATCTCCCTGGGGCGTTTGTAGGGACAAACACTGGCTTTAAGGGCAAGGGAGAATGAGAAAAATATCTTACTCTTTTTACACATATAGCACAGGTATGCAATATATCTGTAGTATTAAAATTTCATGGGGCGCCCGGGTGGCTCAGTCAGTTGAGTGTCCAACTCTTAATTTCGCCTCAGGTCATGATCTCATGGTCATGGGATCGAGCTCCGAGTTGGGCTCCAGGCTGAGCATGGAGCCTCTCTCTCTCTCTCTCTCTCTCTCTCAGCCTCTGCCTGTGCCCTGCTCTCTCTAAAAAAATAAAAACAAAAAACCTAAAAATAAATAAATAAATGAAGCTACAGAGATGGGGGACAGAAATTAGGAAAGTGTGTTTTAAAAAGACTCCTTAGGGAGGTGACAATGACTAAACAGACTGAGAAACAGTGCTCCAAGCAATCCTCAGCCCCTAGAGCTGGCAACCGCTGTGAACAAGTTTTCCATTTGAGAGAGAGAGAGTATGTAAGGGGAATAACGGAGGAGCTGGACCGCAGCCGAGCAGGTGTGAACAACCCAGCCTGTGCGTGTGACGCTGGGTGAAGAATGAGTCTCGGAGCAGGTCCCAGGCCCTCCCCGGCCGTTAAGGGGGAGAATACTCCTCCTTCGTGAGGGTGAGGAGGTGACGTGATGGGCTTAGCATCGCGTGAGGAGCAACAATGCAACTCGTCATCACACAAAAGAAGAACTGATCTAAGAGAGGAGTGGCCGACTCGGCCCCAGCTGTGCACTGACCACCGGAAACGTGACCCACTGCGAAAGCGCGTGCTGGTATTTAAAGGACAGTCGACAGGCGGACGGAAGAACAGAAACACGGTAAACTGTGCACGTTAGCCACCTCAGGAACCAGACGTGGTCAGGAGCACTTGAACAATGTCCCCCTGGACCCTTGCAGCAGCCCCAGGGGGACGTGTGAGCACCCCCATCTTGGGGGACAAGAACCAGGATGGTCGTGTGCTGAAGAGCCCCACTGCTCAGCCAGCACCCAGCACCCAGCACCCAGCTAGCTACCAACTGACCGTCTTCCTGGAGCTCACAGCTGCGAGATCAGGACCTGAGATGCAATTCAGAGGGGGACGCTTAACCGACTGCGCCCCCCCAGCGCCCTCCCAACGAGCCATTCTTACTCCTAATAAGGAGTCAGGGCCGACTGGGCTGCACACAGTCCTGAAGACCCCACGCCCCCACACCCCCACTTCACAGCGAGCTCCAGTGAGCTGCATCAGATGGCTCTGCGATAAATCCAAACACCTCAGAATTAAGTCAGAAAGGAGTGGTGTGTGTATGTGGGTGGGTGGGTGTGTGTGTGTGTGTGTGTGTGTAACAGGAACACCTCAAAGAAATTCAATAAAAAACGGGGCAAATGAAGGCTGAAATGCGGAGGATAAAGCACAATTAGAGTCGGAAGAGAAGCGCCCTGAGGGGATGTGGTGTAGGAAGGGGGGGCAGCAAGCGGGGGGAGTGCTGTGCAAAGCCAAGGAAGCAGCTGCGTTTAAGAGATGCTGAATTTAGGTTTTCCTGGAGAGGCTGAAGCAAGAGAAGGGCCCTGAAATCTGAGTCAAGGGTCATTCCCTTGGGAGGACGGTCGGAAGAACGGGTACTTCGCACACGGCGGCAGTAAAGAACCTGGGGGGGGGGCGGGGGGGGCAGGCGCCATCAGCATCCCTACCGACACGCTGGTGTCCGTCCCCTCTGGCTGGAAGCTCCAGGAGACTGAGGTCGACGTGCCGGTGGTATTGGGAGACTTGAACTTGCAAGTCAGCTTCCCTTGTGTCCCATTTGCCACGAAGAGTTCTTTCGGCGTATATACCTCCAGGGCGGACGTGCCGGTGGTCACTGGGGAGGAACAAGGAAGCGTCAGTAGGATGTGGCAGAAGTGCCGTGCTGCGTACTCACCAGAGAAGATGACAGGGTCTGAGAAAGTTACTTGATATACACAGTTATGGAGATATCTATTATCTCATCTATGTATGTATGTACGTACGTATGTACGTATGTATGTATCTATCTATCTACGTAGCCATGTATGTATGTATGTTATCTATCTATCTAGGTATCTATGTATCTATCTACATATCCATCTATGTGTATCTATGTATGTATGTATGTACCTACCTATCTATGTATCTATGTATCTATCTGTCTGTGTATCTGTGTATCTGTGTGTGTATGTATGTATGTATGTATTTATCTATCTACCTACCTACCTACCTACCTACCTACCTACCTATCTCTGCTGCCACTGTGTACTATACATTTCTGGCAGAATATTTCACAGCTAGGTACTTCCTAGAAACAGGATAAACTGCTGACGGTCTTGTATTTTGTTTTTGCTTTTTCAGTAAGAAGATATTTTCACGAGTTCAACTCTTACCTAATGTTTATGTTTTCTTTTTCATTAACAGACTTTCTTTCTTAGAGCAGCTTTTGGGTTACAGAAACACTGAGCATGAAGCAGAGAGTTCCAGTATAGTCCCTCCCCCCAACCCCCAGTTTCCCCTATTCATAACGTCTTTTGTTAGTGTGGTGTATGTTACAGTTGATGAGCCAGTATTGTTCCATTATTAACTAAAGCCCGTCATTTACAGTACGGTTCACTGTGTGTTATACATTCCATGGGTTTTGACAAACGTATAATGACATGTATCCACTATTATAATAAAACACAGAATCCTTTTACTGTCCTAAACATCCCGTGTTCCACCCATTCATCCCTCCCTCCCCCCTTAACCCCTGGCAACCACTGATCTCTTTAGTCTATGTTTGCCTTTTCCAGAACATTATATAGTTGGAATCCTACAGGCTTTTCAGATTAGCTTCTATCACTTAGCAATATTTATTTAAGTTTCCTTCTTGTCATTTTATAGCATGACAGTTCATTTCTTTTCATTGGTGAATAATATTCATTGTATGGATATTATCCATTCACCTCCTGAAAGATATCTTGGTTGCTTCCCCAGTGGTCTGTTTTTAATGATGTAGAGGCTGTACATACACACACACACACACACACACACACATATGTATATATTTTTTGCTTCTTTAAGTAGTTCTCATATTTACCTGTTAAATTTCAACTGCTATCACACTGAACTTTTCTCTTCCATTTAATTTGAACACAATTAAAACTACTCTAGGTAAGGTATCACTTCATTGAGAGCCATGTTTAGTGTTTCACTGATCCGTTTCCCATAAGGGATTTAAGGCAAAAAACATGCACAGCATGCCGTTTTTGGTACTGAAACCCTACCCATTGTTACATTTCAGTATCACGTGTGCTAGATAACTGTGAATTCAAGAACCAGCTGTCCACACTGGGCCACGGTTTCATTCTACCCCTTGGGTTTTACTCAGTCAGCCTACGCCCAGAAATAGTCATTAAAATGTCTATCACGTGCAATATAAAAATAGCTCCTTTTTTTCCCCAAGATCTGTAATCAGAGGCAACTGATTTAGTCAGAGTCTTAAGGACTGCTGCTAAAATAAAATAATCTTCACTCAAAATACCCACTTTCATGGATTAAATGAAGGTTAGAAAGAAAATTAGCCTAAAAAATGGACAAAATTAAAGCTAAGGGAGGAAATATTGTCTTCCAAATAGGATATTTTTTAAAGAAATGGTTTGGAAAGAATCCACACCCACAGTGTTCCAATTGCTCTCAGATGGAACAGAGGGGCAGAATGAGGAGGGTGCTGTCACGCAGGACTGGTGACCACATTCAGAACCCCTTCCTCCTGAGGACTTACCCAGACTCTAGGGCAAGGAGAACAAGAATCCTCCCCCAGCCCTCCCAACCACCTTCCAAATGTTTACTCTCGGGACACAATGGGCACTTTGGGCTATTCTTTTAAATAAGCTGATAGCCACACTGCATCAATCAGATTTTTTCTGCTAAAGAGGGTGGATTATTATTATAGAGAACAATGGATTATTATTTGTGGTCCAAACCTCAAAACAAACCTTCCTTTCAAACAAGAAGCAAACAAAAGATGTTCCTTGCCATTGTGGGTAGGCAGCAAAGCAGCCCCAGGGCATCTGAGTTCAAAACGAGGGACAAAGCACAAGACCAGAAGATTTGACCAGCTTTTCCAGGAAGCACTGTGGGCTTACAACCCTTATTTATGCTGCGTGATTTTGACTAGTTTTCTCCACGGTGGTAGGCGCTACAAGGAAAGCCAGTCTGCAAAGTCCACAAATAAGTCTCTTCAAGGGTTTTCTTCAGCCAGATCCCTGCCTCAAGGCCGGCCTGCAAAATCTGGTACCTGAAAGGTTATTTAGAGATGTCCCAGCTTACAGTCACAGAATTTTGACCAAAAGACTAACCAAACCCCTACCTGGTTTTTAAATAATCTATGTGAGACAGACTTAATCACACCAGAGCTGGTTAATACATAAGTGACTTAAAAAACAGAAAGCCACTCTTTGGCTCATCTGGATGTGCAGCTCTTCCAGCCAGGATTATGAATTCCAACCGTGGCCCATCGGCTGTTGCCAAAGAACAAAATGGCTCCATCCGTGGCTAGTTAGCGCCCTCTCCCCCCGACTCTCTCTCTTTCCAGCACCCCTCTTGTCCTGGTTCTCGGAGATCACAGCCGGTCACGAAACGACCTCCCAAAGCCCCGGTCCTCCGTGGATCTTGTCCTCTACAAAATGTCACCCTCAGGCCTACCCCGCCCCCCTCCCCCCAGGCCAGGGCTTCTCCGCCGGGCGCTACTGACAACCGGGCTGGATTACTCTCTGCTCGGGGTCTGTCCTAAGCGTTCTGGGACAGGCGGAGGGTCCCTGGCCTCTCCCAGATGTCAGGGGAATCTTCGTCCCTTCCAGCTGTGCCAATGTCCGCAGACCCTGAAACACCCCGTCGGGGACCATCTGCCCCTGGCTGGGAACCGCTGCCCCACACCCTGCTGGCAAGCCGAGCGCCCGCCCTGCCCCTCCCGCCTCTCCCCTGATGCCCCACACCCTGCTGGCAAGCCGAGCGCCCGCTCTGCCCCTCCCGCCTCTCTCCTGACGCCCCACACCCTGCTGGCAAGCCGAGCGCCCGCTCTGCCCCTCCCGCCTCTCCCCTGACGCCCCACACCCCGAGCGCACTCCCCCTACTCACATTCACTCAGCCCGTCTCTACCCACCTGCCCGCCCCCCGAGCTGGCGGGCTGTACGCGGAGAAAAAGGCACGGAATCCCACGGACTGGTTTCACCTGAGCCTCAAGACCGCTAACTTCAGGGGGGCCCTGAGCGCTGGCCGGCGACCCTTCCCCGCCCCCCACCCCGTGTCCTTGCCCCTCCCGGAGGGGCCCCCTTCACACCTCGCTCTCCCACCTCGACTCTCCGGAGGCCACGGTCTGCACCTCCCGGCTCAGTGAGAAAACACGCAGACCCGGAGGGACCTTCCTCACGAATGTCCCCGGCTCCCTGCAGCCGGGCCCGGCGTGCTGCGTGTCCTCCGCGACTGGCCGCGTGGCCAGGGGCCAGTCCCTCCTCGGGGCGCAGGACCCCGTCTTCTCTCGCCCAGCCGAGTGTCAATCCAGCAGCCCTGCCTCTTCCTCCTGAAGCCTTCACGCTCAGCTGGGCTGCCGCCACCAGCCACACAGATGCCTATATTTGTATTTATATCCCAGCTTCAGGGGAAAGAAATCTGGACCCTGCATCTCACTTGGAAGAATTGTTTATATTCACTGTGCGCAATTTCTCTCCTCCCGTGTTTTTTTAATTCTTTTAAGTTTATTTATTTGAGAGAGAGAGAGAGAGAGAGAGAGCGCAAGCCAGCACACATGGGGGAGGGGCAGAGAGGGAGAGAAAGCAGGATGCGGGGCTCGATCTCGGGAACCATGAGATCATGACCTGACCTGAAATTAAGCGTTGGACACTTAACCGACTGAGCCACCCAGGCGCCTCCTCCCATATTTTCTTGAATAAACCCAATCCAGACTTTTGTCCAGACTCCACTAACCCTATTCTTCTTAAAGAATCCAGTGACCACCACGTGGCTAAATCAGCAGTAAATTCTCAAACTGACCCTTGTGACCCGCCTACAACGTGTGACACGGCCGGCCTGAGTCCCGAAGCATCAGGCGTTGGTTCCTTACCGCCCTGCCTGCTCCTCACCAGCGCCCTGGCCTCCACACCTGGGGCTCAGACCCCCTGCTGACCTGGCATCTCTTGGCCATCTTATCTAGTTTCAAGCTGGAAGTATCGCCTAAATGCTGATGGCCCCTGTACACACACACACACACACACACACACACACACACACACACACACACGTCTATCAACAACTTTACTTGAGTCTAACTGGCATCTCAAATTTAATATGACCAAATTGAATCCCTGATTCCTACCCTCACACACCCTTCCACAGCCGCTTCCGGTGCAGGAAAGGGCAATCCCAGAGCTTCAGTGGCCGAGGCCAAAACCCGGGAGTCCTTCCTGACACTGCTTGCTCGCACCCTTACCTCCACACTGTCACAGAACATGTGGTGTCTGCTTAGAAACGTCTCACGAGTGACCTCTCCCTGCCCGTCTCAGTGCCGCCATCTTGGTCCAAGCCACCCTCATCTTTCACTCGGGATATTTCAGTGGCTTCCTAAACTGGGGCCTCTGCTTCTACCCCCTCCCACTTAACTGCAGCCAGTCCATGCTTTTTAAAATGCGCAGCAGGGGGCTCCTGGGTGGCTCAGTGTAAGCGTCTGACTCTTGGTTTTGGCTCTCGGGTCATCTCACGGTTTGTGGGTTCGAGCCCCACACCGGGCTCTGTGTCAACAGTGTGGAGCCTCCTTGGGATTCTCTCTCTCTCTCTCTCTCTCTCTGCCCCTCCCCTGCTCACTGTTTTTCTCTCTCA